TTCCAGTGACCACTGCTTCCCCTGTTCCTTCAGGCTGAGGGGTGTCTATTCTCTGTCAGGACCTTGTCTACCAGGAGCCTTTATAAAGCTCCTTCTTCTTTTGGTTTCTGGTTAATGGTCTATCCTCACCCAAGCCTCCCTGCCTGACTAGTTCTCTGTGGGCTCTGCTTTCCCAGCTCTCTAGCAAACTGCATTTCCCTGCCTAACACTACAGTCTCAGAGCCGAGCTTCTCACCCTGTTAAAGGACATGGGGAAAACACAGGAAAGTGCAGTTTAACTGTAATCCCACCACACACACTAAACGCTCTAGGTGCATTGTTTTTTTACTTAAAAAGTCATTAAATCACTCATTAAAAGAAGGTGGGGATATGGATGAAATAGGTGAAGGGGATTAAGAGACACAAACTTCCAGTGACAACATAAATAAGTATGGGGATAAAAAGTACAGCATAGGGGATATGGCCAATAATACTATAATAATGTTGTAGGGCAGTGAATGGTAACTTACTTATCCTGGTGAGCAGTGCATAATGTCTAGAATTGTCAAATCACTGTTATACACCTGAAACTAATATAACATTTATGTCAACTATACTTCAATAAATAAGGGATAACCATTAAAAAAAGCAGTTAAATCCCTCTTAAAAATCATAAAAGTGACACATTTACTGCAACCAGTGACATATTATAAAAATATATAAAGAGAAGAAGTTAACGCTCTTCCCAATGCTTCTGGATTCTTCCCCTTCACCCTCAGAGGGGTGATACCTGTCTCGCAAAAACTGCAAGCATGCTATCCATCACCTTGCCACTTGCTAGGTACAGATCTAGTTCAATACTTTGAACGGCCTCATAGTATTATACAGTAGAAATGTACTATAATTTATTTAACCATTTCTCTACTGATGGACATCCGAATTTTTTCAGCTATTTTTGCCACTAGAAACAATGCTACAGTAAACACTGTAGGGTTGCTAGGTCAAAGTTACATATAGTTTCAATCGCCACCCCCTTACTTTCTTAAAAGTATATGGCAATGTATTTCTTAATTTAATTCTTACATTTGTTTTATATGGGTATGATATGGTTTATGCAATTGTTGAATCTTATTTTCTCTCTTAACAGGAATTACAGAGAATTTTCTTTTTTTTTTTTTTTAAAGATTTTATTTATTTATTTGACAGAGAGAGACACAGTGAGAGAGGGAACACAAGCAGGGGGAG